AAAGTTCAGCAGTCCTATTTCTAGTTTATATTTCATCGCTATGCTGCTAATTTTCTGGTGACATTGGAATTTTTTTAAAAATTTTGGAAATATACGTAAAGTAACAACTATTAATAGTTTTTGTTAGTGAAACTTTTATACGAAACAAAAGAAATATTATAGTTTAGGCGCGTAGGCAGAAATATTCTAAGAGTGTATGTCCACCAGTTGAAAAAAATTGTTGATCCGCCTTGCCTACGGTTCTGCTATAATTTCATTGTTTATTTAATTCAAATGACAAATATCAGTCATTATGAATCAAAGAAACAATATGCTGTTTACTCAATGAATTATAAATGTACAGGGTGGATCGAAATATTTTTCCTTCAAGAAAAATTTCGTGCAAAATTCCAAGAAAATTATTTAAAAAGACTTATGAAGGGGTTTTATTACAAAAACACAATTATCCAGTATGGTTAAAATAACTCCAATAAGAAAAATATGTGTACCGAAATAACGTAGAATATGATTTTTTATATAACATTTTTGATAATCATTTAAAGTAGAAAAATTCGTATTATTTTCCATTATTTTCAATAACTCGATAAGTAAATGAAAACCAGAAAAAAGAATGTCTTGAAGAGAAGTTTAATGTATTATTGAAGGTATCGGAAAAAAAAAACTTTTAGATAGTCAATGAGTGTATCTAGAGTGCAGCAGGAGAAACCGAAGAAAAAAATTTAGTTTTATTATTTGGTCGATTAGTAAGTTATTCTTTCTTTTTACATAATAAAATATATTATTGAATTAGATCTATAATATGGGTGAGTATGGAAAATGTGAAAAATATTGGAAATGTCTTTTATCAAGTTTACCAGAAAATCATAATGATGTTCTGAAAATCTATTTTTATCTTGGTCGTGTTTGTAATTTGCATGGTGATTATAAACAAGTTTTTGAATATTATGAACAAGTATTAGTTTTACAAAAACATGAAAATTGAACCGAATGAAAGTTGATTTGATATAGCACGAACATTACATAATATTGTAGAGAGTTATTTTGTTCAACAAGAAACACGAAAAGCACTAGAATATTTCAACAAAAGCTTTAGAAATGAAGCCTTTAGCACTTATTAAAAAATCTGGTCATCCATCAATTGCAACAACACTAACTGCGATTGGAAGCGTTTATAAAAGATAAGAAGATTTAGTAAAAGCATTAGAATTATTTAAACAGTCATCAAGGACATATCCAGAGGGGGACTGGGGGATTGAAACTCCCACCCCCGGTAAAGACTTAAATGCTTGAAGGGGTACAGGTTGATTACTTTTCACAAGCTAAAAATTGTCTTTTTTCTATAGCGATCCCCCCGTTAAAAAAATTCGTGAATACGTCACCGATAGTGATATGAAATGAAAAAACTTTCTATTACTATAATATCATCCATCAATACCTGATTGATTAAATCATCTAGGAAATGTTCATTAAGAAATGGATAATTCTAACGAAGTATTAGATTGTTATCGAGAATTATTAAATATAAAACAAAAAACGTTTACTGCAGACACAAGGACGTGATAAAAATGAAAAGTTGTCTCTTCGTCAAATCTTCGAATATTTTTTCTATTTTCTTTTTGATATAAAACAAAATTATTTCCATTGAATCTATGGTGATTTAATATAGAAGCACATTCCAGTCCAATTAATAAATAAGTTTCTTGTTCTTACAATTGTTGTTAAGTTTTTTTTTGTCATTAATTTGTGTAATATATTTTTTTCTTTTTTTGGTGTTCGTGCTTCTGTTATCTTGAGCGGCAATAACCATTTTAATTATGTGATAAATTTATATGATGTCAGAGAAAGAAAATTAAATTTATTATAGAATCTTTTTTTTTTCTTATTCACTTTCAGAACGATAAAAAAACAATTTTTTTTTCTGTTTCTCTTCTCCTTCGACATTATTTTTTTATACATACGAAACTAATCATATCGACTGAATTACGCGAAAAATAATTATTTGGAGAAATAGATTGATTATGAAATTGATTTAGGATGAAAATCAATTTAAATCTGAATTGATACTCAAATCATATTTTCTAAGAACTACGAAAATTCTTTTTTCATATTCTACTCTAATTGTAAAGATAATAATTGTTTCAATTGAAAATATGATTTAAATTTTAAAATTATTTATAAACAAGATAATTGAATATATGTTAATGATATTACAAATAATGAGGAAAAATATGAATGGAAAACAATTTCAAGTAGAATTTTATATAAGATTTTTCTTAAAAATTTTTTATAGAAGAAACTTATGTTACACTTCTTCCAACTCATGATGATACTCAATCGGTAACGATTAATAAAATAAAGCCAGGTGTTGCCACTAATAATGAACAATTAATAAGAAAAGATTTGAAAATTTTCAGTTAAAATTTTGTTTCATTCATTAAAACCTGAAATTGTAACAAATTCAAGCAAAGAAAATATTTCATTACGATGCACAAGTAACACGTTGATAAATCAAAAAAAACGATTCATTTCGATGGATTGATACAGCAAAGACATGTGTACCATTTTCTAATGAGAACGTTCAATATATTTTTAACAATAATCGAATCGATCGTTAGAAAATATTCAGTTACAATTTATAATTAATTTTCTTAGAAAATAAATAATCAAAAATCAGATTAAATATTGTTGTGTTGACAAACACAAAAATGAAGAAAAAACAAAGTAGTGCATTTTTATTAGTCTATCATAATGCATCAACGATGGAAATTTTCAATAAAACCAAATGTTCATAGCAGTTCCAAATCAGCGGATATAGATACATCAGGTATATCAATTGCATTTCAATTTTGGTCACTTCTTATTGTCGGAATATTATCTTTAATTTGTTCATTATTTGTTTTTTATCGATATCTATCAAATCATACACGACTTTATGCATTACATAATCATTTTATTCTTTTATTAATGATGACAAATATAATACTTATTCTTACAGATTTTTCATGGATGTTGGATAGTCTTCGTCAATCAGGACGTGCTCTATCAGCTACATCACCATTTTCTATGATCTGGTGGACTGTTGATTTTAGTTTATACAATACTCAAACACTTATACTTGCTTGGGCATCAATCGAACGTCATATTCTTATATTTCATAGTAAAATGATTTCAACGCGCAAACAAAAATTTTATTATCATTATCTTTCATACACAATATTAATTATTTACTTATTTACTTTTTATATCGGTGTTATTTTTTTACCACCATGTAAAAACGAATTTAATTTTAATGCTGTTGAATGTGGATTAAATCCTTGTTATTTAAGTATACAATTTCTTGTTTTATGGGATTTAATTATACATAATGCTTTACCTACGCTTATTATTGCTATATTTAGTCTTCCTTTACTTTATCGTATAATTTCACATAAAAAAACGACTTCGACAACCAATTCAATGGCAAAGATATCGACGTATGTCAATGGAACTTTTATCATTTGCAGCTGTTTATCTTTTTCTTAATCTTCCATTGACAATTATTATGCTTGTACAACTTTTTCAAGATACGTCTCAATTTGGTTTTGGAACTCAACTTTATATTTTCTTTCTTACATATAGTGTTACACTTTCATTACCATATGTTGCATGTCTTAGTTATTTACCAAATGGTACACGACAACATCGAAGAATAGTTCCGATACTTACCTTCTTACAACATCGACGAATCTATACGCGAAACATCACTAAATGAAAGAATTCAATGCTAATAGCATCAAAAAAAACAAAAAAAAATCTAAACCAAAAAAAGTAATCATTTTTCAATGCTAAAATCTATAAAAAATTTTACACCCATATTTCTGACAAGTTAGGGGGAGGGGGTAGTGGGCGTAATTTTTTCGATGCTAAAACTTACTTAAAACTTTTACCAGCTCCCTGTTTGTGGAAATGTATGAGAATAACTTTTCCTATATAAACGACTCAACTGTCTGTATCCTAATTTTGTATGTACTATAACAGTATTATTCATTATACAGGTTCTACATCAATAACATACTATTGGCCATTTCAAAAAAAGGCGGGTGGGTATTTTTTGAATAACTTTTAACAGAAGCAAGCATGTCTTGGGAAATACAAATTTGCAGCAACTTCAAATTCTTTAAAAGAACACCAATTTGCAACAAAATAGACATATAGAGATATTAGAGGTATAAGGCTATATAACTCTAGAGATTTAGAGGGTGGCGGTAAAAACTGTTTGTGGAAGTGGAGAGGCAAGGGCCCGACTGAGAGTGAGGGAAAAGCACTTGAGGAAAAGGCAGAGAGGCAAGGGCGCGACTGAGGGGAAAGCACTTGAGGGGATTCTATCCTTCATCATTATCATTTAGATTTAGAACACACTTATTATTTCGAATATATTCACGTGTCACATAAAGTGAAGCAAAGTCATTAATAACAAAGCTAGAAACTTACGCTTTGTAATACATTGAAGAAATCAACTAAAACAATCATTGTCTGCTTATTTTTATGCAGTTCCAGTTTCCGACACTCAAACGAACAATTTGCCAGGGAAATAGAATTACGAAATAATAGTAAATTATAGTCTCTGCTTATTCGATATCTGCGGATATGTATGACCCTGTCAAGATATGGAATCCCTGTAGAAATAGTTTTATTATTTCCTCTTTTTTATAAGAGGAAACGTTTAATTTATGTACAGGATCATTTACAAAAAATTCTTCCCATTTTGACCTTCATTGAAAAGTGGGCAGATAGTTCATATCTAGTATACCTTAAAAAACTTATCTCCACACCTTTCCAGAAACATGCAGGTAAAACTTTAGCATCGAAAAAATTACCCACATTACCCTCATAACTTGTCAGAAATATGGGTGTAAAATTTTATATAGATTTTAGCATCAAATAAATGTGGAAACCTCGGATTTATATCCGAGAGTTATGTGTACTTCAAAAAGTGAATGAGACGGATTAGTCACGCTAGCATGTGTGAACATAAAAATTAACCTGGCAAACCTTGTCTATAAACACTTGATTTCTATTGGCTACTGCTCAACCAATAGGATTTGGGGCGAATACAGCTCAGATTTG